TTGATTAGTAGAAGGTTTTACAGGAGTGGTGGAAACAGGATCAGATGATTTTTGTGGGGAAGGAACAGAGATATGAGATGGAGCAGGAACAAATTGTTTCTGAGCAGGAGGTGGTTTTGGAATAGACTTGAATGTTGAGTCATTTAAAACAATATTATTGAAAGAGGATACAGAAGATTTGGTACCTTTAATCTTGATACGCTTTGTGGAACAGAGGGAGCGTCTCCAGATGCTTTCCTCTTGATCAGCTTCTGAGGCTTGTTAGCAACTTTGGGCTTCTTTTGAAAAGCCACTTCTTCTGCTTCTGATTGGCCTCTTTCCCTTGTGTTCTCATTTCCTCCATCAGGCATTGGTTCCCTTGCTCTTTTCAGAATATCTGCAGGAGCTGGGGTTCCATCTGCCTTGCAAGAATCAATATACCTTATAATTATTTCCCTTGGTTCTTCAGCACAGAACATTGGGTAGTTGTCAACTGGAATTCGCTTCTGACTAAGTTCAGAGATATTCAACTTCTTGGGTGCTGATGTGAGTTCCTCTACAATTTTTAGTCTCTGAAGACTCTTGGCATTCAGAGGTTTCCCAACAATAGATTCAAGTTCCTCCTTGACTCCAGCAGCATACAGAGCAGTCACCAGTCCATTTTCTGTCAGAATATCTTAAATTAACCTTCCAAAGGGAATCCATGTTCTGATCTTCTGACCCTTATCTTTTACAGATTCTCTTGAAGCATTAATATGATTCCATAAGTGCATGAACAGAATGTAAGGAAGATCTATCTTGGTGCTCTGACTTAAACAGTACATGAAGTAGAGTTGTTCATTGTTCACACAATCTGGAGAATTTGTAGATTTTCTGTGATGAATGCATCCCATGAAAATCTTTGCCCAGATTTTGTAGTCAGGCTTCAGATCTTTAAACTTGTTAGAGGCCTGTCCAGCAGTCATGACTTCCTTATAAACTTCTTCCATGTCTACACGCCCAACTGGCAGATGAGATACTCCATCAGTTTCCTCATATACTATGAGTTTCCTGATTAGATCTTCTGTAATTATAATCTCCTTACCCAGAACAGAAGACAAGATGAATTTGGGGTATACAAAAGCATGTATCCAGAATTCTTTCACCAGATGAGGGTAAACTGGTCCAAATAATCTGTCAAAGTATTTTACCCATCCTTGAGCATCAACTATTGAACGAAATTCAAATCCATTTTCAACTAATGAATCAAATTCCACCATTGATTCACAGAGAACTTCAAGTTTGTCAACAGGAGTTAACAAAGTCCTTTTAGGTGTCGTGTATGGAACCACACCCATATTTGCAGAAGTAACTGCAGCCATGGTTGATTGAAACTGAGCTGCTGTAGAAGATGAGGTTGCCATTGAAGATGATTTTGACAAAGGTTTAGGGTTTTTGTGAAGAGAGAAAAGAAGACAGAAATGCATAAACTTGCTTGAGTTGTGAAAAGTGTGAAAGTGGTGAGAGATGTGATATTTATAGAAAACAATTATGCATACAAACAGACAATCAAAACACGTTCACACATAGCAATTAATGTCAATTAATGAAAGAGAATAAAAATCATTTCAAGCATTAATTGATTCTGACAAATTGGGGGGGGGGGGGGGGGGGGGGGGGAAATCAAGATTTTCACTATTCAAACCATACCTCAAACGTCCCTTCAGTAGTGTACACGCCATCTTTGCAGATTTAGAGTGACACGTGTTTGCTTGCATGTGCTTCTGAATTCTCTTGAGAAATGAAACGTTAACCAACGTTCAGATCCTCTGAGATTGGTTAGTTCAGATACACACAAATAAACATAAATTTAATAAGCAACAGGTGAAATACTTCAGAGTGATAAACATTTATCATCTGTAAAATTTGCTTCTGACAAATATTATTCTGGACACAAATCCATACCAATATTTTTCAGAATAAATTTGAATCTATCTTCAACAAGGGGTTTTGTGAAAATATCTGCCCATTGATGATCTGTATCAACAAAGGCTAAGTTTATAATTCCCTTCTGAACATAGTCTCTGATGAAATGATGCTTAATTTCTATATGTTTTGCCTTAGAGTGTAAAATATGGTTTTTAGACAAACATATAGCAGAAGTATTATCACAGAATATAGAAATGTTACTTTCAAATATCTGATAGTCTTCTAGCTGACTTTTCATCCAGAGCATCTGCGTGCTACATCCAGCAGCAGCAATATATTATGCCTATGTAGTTGATAGTGCAATTGTGGGTTGCTTCTTGCTGTACCAAGAGATTAGATTTCTTCCTAGAAATTGACAACTTCCAGAAGTACTTTTTCTTTCCACTCTGTCTCCAGCGTAATCAGCATCACAGAATCCAACTAATTTGAAGTCATCAGATTTTCTGTAACACAAACCCACATTAGAAGTACCTTTCAGATACCTTAGAATCCTCTTAACAGCTGTTAAGTGTGATTCTCTAGGATCTGATTGGAATCTTGCACACAAGCATACACTGAACAAAATGTCAGGTCTAGAAGCAATTAAGTAGAGAAGAGATCCTATCATACCTCTGTAGAGTTTCTGATCTACTTTCTTACTTACCTCTTCCTTGCCTAGTGAACTAGTTGGATGCATGGGAGTCTTTGCCATCTTACTATCTGTTGCACCCTAATTTTTGACCTTAAGATCCCGCCTCTTTGGACTTATCTTCTTGCTTCTTTTATTTTACTTTTATATGTATGCTTATTTCGACTAACCCGTTTGCGTAGGTGCGGTACTGTCGAGTATAGATCCTTACAGTCCAATACTTCAAAGTGTGACCCTTGGATCTTAGGGACCCTGGGATTATTCTACTGGTTGTCTCCTCGAATGCTTCTCGGGAGTTTCTTTGTTTGCCCCAGAATTTCAAGTTGTTTTGGTCATTGGTATTGGACACAGATATTCGAGGTTTTGCTTTGGTTCATAGGAGGCAACATCGCATGACAAGTTTGGATAAAGATCATGAATGAAGTCTGGGTGCTATAGCGTCAAGGAAAATTTGACTGGTGATAATCTTAAGTTACGATGAAATTTATCCAAGGGCGCACAACTCAAGAGATTCAGATAAGAGGCTCCAGAATAATTCAATTTACAAGATCAAGTTCATAACTCAAGTTTATAAGTATAATTATGCTAAAGAAGGTCACAACTCGCCAAAAGCCATCGCGAGTTTCGGATGAGGATTCATTACGAGATCGATTACCCGAGGTTTTTATTGAACACTACAATAGAGGACTTACAAATGCACCCTTGATGTGATGACACCAATATTGAAAAATAAGTCATTATATTTCTAAGGAAACCATTCATCCTTAAGGATGTTTGTTTGTCAATTTACATTCATACAACAAACATAACTACATATTTCCCTTTCATTTTCTATTTATGGAGAACTGAGTATTTGTCTACAAGGAGTTGAGTTAAGATTACAACAATGCAACGTATTCAAAGAGGCTCAAATTTGGTCTACAGGGATAAACCTCATATCAGGCAAAGCATTACAAGAGAAATTACAAAGTATATGTTTGTTTTTGCCTAAAACTCAAATTAAAGCTACCAGAAGAGCAGCAAGCTGTTTGAAATTTCACATTCCCATATTATTTGAACAGAAGACCTCCTATTAGGTGCCACCGTACAATTGACGGTCTAAAGGCCATATAACCTGTTCAAGCCTCAAATAATAACATGTCAATAGAACAATGAGTTGATTCATACTGTTTGACTCAAAACGACATTGGGTCCAAAGCTACCATATTGCAAATCGGTTGCTTTTGGTTCTAATAACATCTCCAGAGCTTTTCCAGCATAGCCTCTAAATCCAATCCATGCGACTCTGATACTACTTGGAAGAAAGCTTGGTTACTCGATCTCTTGTTGGGGTTTGGATTGTAATCTTTTGATACCTTATGTATTTCATCTAATATATGTTTGTGAACTTATTTTGGGTTCTCTATTGATTGAATATCTTTGGTTATGTATTTGTGGGTCTTGACAAAACCTTTTTACATCTTTGATCTTAGATCTTCTTCTATCAATGAACAAACTTTTGACATGGTTTTGAAGTTGATATTAATTTTATCCTCTATGGTGTTGTGTTGATTAAGTAGCATGGGTAGCATGGGTAGGATCAATATAATATTGTGTGGGTATGTGATAATAGTGATGAAGAATGATGTTCACAACCATTTGGCGGATTAGATGAATACATGTAAAAAGGGTTAAGCGTGTGTACGTATTCTGATCTTTGTATTTTATGCAAAACAACCGTTTATCCTATATGGGTGTTATCTTTGCTTTCCTGTTTATCTTCGATTTGAACCGTGATAGAGATATACTCTTCAGATCTGGATCTAGGATGATTGCCTGTTAGGTCTTAAACACTAGAGATAGTTTTTGGCTTAGCATTTGCTTAAGTATCATATCTTAAGGCTCTGTGTTGTGTTTTTGTTGGGTGAGAGATCACCAATGAGACAACATGGTTGTTCTCTCGACGCCGCGTTAGAAATAAGCTTTGTCGTGAGTGATACGTGATGATATTAGACGAATGATTGCGTTGTGTTTAATTTGTTCAGAAGAATGCATTTGTTATCAATTGATGAAATCCAATCCCAACAAGGCTCCTTTTATATTTCAGTCTTTATTTTATATTTTCTGTTTTTATTTATGGTTCCTTGAACCTTTTAAACCAAACCTTTTGAAAATCAAGCTCAGAAACATAGAGGTCGTTGAACGGCGTTCATATCGCACTAATCCCTGTGGAGACGACAAAACTGGGTACTTAATATTTTTTGCTTGCTGCTTTACCGCATCAACAACTTGCTATCAACATTTACAAATGGATGATTTTATGCCTGATTATTAGAAAAATGAGTGCTATGAGGCTTGCTATGCACCAACGACTTATCCAGTTAATAGAGAATCTCTTTGGACAAAAATAGATGGTGTTGACCTACAACCACCCCCTATAAAAAGGATGCCTGGTAGACCCAAGAAGAAAAAGAACAAGGAGGTTGGGGAACAAGCGAGAAACGAGACACAACTCAAAAGGGAAAAATTTGGTATCAAATACAGTAGGTGCCATAAGGATGGTTGCAACAAGGCCACTTGCGAGCTACCTACAACTGTTGTGACTTTAACTCTGGAAACCCCAATCCAACCACAACCAGCTGCTACCTCAAGCCAACCAACACTAGATGGAGCTTCAACTCAGCAACCACCCAAAAAGAAAAGAAAACTTCAAAAGGGTCTAAAACCAGTTCAGAGCCAACCCTAAAATTTATGTTGATCTTTGATGTGTACTAGTTATGTCACTTTTGGCCTATTTTTTAGTTTATTACTAAGGCTTATAATTCCACTTTTGTTGGATTTATGTTGTTGTAACAGAGGGCATACAATGACTATTTTTTAGTTTATGACTTATGGTTTCCAGTGCCACTTTTGTTGTGACTTGTAATGTAACTATTGTTATGACCTATAATGTTACTTTTGGTATGACCTTGAATATAACTCATGTTATGGTTCTGTTACTAGTGTTATGACCAATTTATGGTGTTTATTTGTTCTGGTATATTATGGGAAACATCAAAAATGTTAAGGAATGTTATGCTTATGTTACACCAAATTAAAAGTACATTTGTTCTGGCATATTATGTGAAGCAAAAGTAACATTTCTCAAAATACATTTCATTGATAAATGTTGACAAATAGATAACAATGTTGACAGATACATTTCAACCTCCTTGTTCACAAATAGATTTCACTAATAAAAGTTGACACATACATCTCATTACACAGACAAATAACCAACCTAGAAAAACATTGTTACAAATACAATAGTAAACACTAAGCTCAATATTCCAATCACTATGGACACTTTCAACCATTCTCTAGTGTTAATGATCTCATTATTCAATTTGTAAATTTTCTTCTTTTGCCTCTGGATCTTTAAATCTCTTTCATCAATAATGTCGTCATCGAACTATTTGAAGAAATTAAAACTCTTGTTCACATGATTTCTGAAATTTCTACAACCCTAAAACTTTTTCCAAAATTGACACTATTCATGTCACCCACGGTACGAAGCACACATTCATCTTGGCAATAACACTCCCTCCTCTTGTTTCTGCGAATAATTGACCCAGTTGTTCCAATGGAAGAATTACTTGATAACTCAAACATTGGAGAATATGCAAACCCTAGGAATGGAGACAAGATAAAAAGAAGAAAAATCGAATAAACCCTTTATGCAATGCCAGACAACAAGAACGAAGAGATTAGGAAATCAACCAAACACACAAACACGAAGAATGAGTGGATATACGCGCGAGTACTTTTTTGGAAAATATGAAACTCTTGACAACATTTTACCCTTTAAATAATGGTTTATTCATTCTTTTGATGAGTCATCACACACTTGGCACACCACGTTGACAGTTACTAACATTTTAACATCAAAACTAACGACAGTGATCTAATATGCTAACGGAAGTAATATTACAAGACCAAACTGAAATGATTTTTTTAAGAAACTAAATTGCAACTCATAATTAACTTATGGGACTTGGGGACTAATTATGCCTTATAATATTGTCTCTTATAAAAGTCAACAACGCATACTTAAAGATGATTTAGTTATAGTCATATAAAACACATTCATATACTCCCTCTAAAATGACTATCATTTAAAAAATTTGCACAATGTTGTCATAGACACTACACTTTTATTAAATTAATTTTATTAATGTCTTGAAATAATATAAATTTTATTTGTTAAAAAAACTTTATTTTGAAAATGAGAGAGTAATTTAATGGATGATACCAACTTTTTATCAATAAAAAAAGTGTATTAATAATATTTTGTAATTGTATATTCAATACTACCTATAACGTACCACTTTTTCAAAAAGATGTGACTTCTATGCTTACCTAACTTGCATTTCAATATTTCAAACCCCAAAAAAAAAAGAAAAAAACTCACATTTCAATTGATGTACCAAATCATCTTAATCATTTATTTATTACCTTTTCTTTCCCACCAGCGAAAAAACTGAGAGCTTCCTTTTTCCTCCTAGTGTTTTTAAAAAATCATAAAAGTATATTTCAAGCAATGTTTTGAAAATCAGTGATGGCTAAATAAATAAATCAAACAAATTTTTCACATTTTTAAATTTTATGTTAGATTTTTAAAAAATTATGAATAGAATCATAATTTTTTTCAAAAATTATGATTTTATATTGTATATTTTAAAATGAAATAAAAAAAATAGTATAAACAATAAATTTTGAAGAGAAAAAAATTATTGTTTCATCCGAGAACTTATATCAATGGTGTATAAATCCATAAATTTTGGAGAAGGGTTATAAATTTTTAAAATCTTGACATCTCTGCACTACTGAATTTATCAAAAATTAGTAGCGCTAACTTTGTATAGTTTTTTAATAATTATTAAAAAAAAAAAAAAATAATAGTCTTTCCAAAAATTATTATTCACCCCTCCGTCACATCAATTTTCAAAAAAATAAGTGACAACTAAAATATATATCAAAATTTTTCCAAAATTTTAACTTTACATGAATATTTGAAAAATTTAGTATACAATTATAGATTTACTCAAAAACTTATGGTTTTATATTGAATTTTTGAAATAATTGATTGAAACTTGTTACTCTAACTTCTTCGATCTACGTATTAAGTTACCAAAAAAATTTACTAGACTGCTGTAAAAACATTTGTTGTATCTAAGTGTCCAATTTCAATTGCACAAGTTACCTATAATTAAGTTAGGGAAACATTTCCTTTATAAATATAGCATACTTTGAGGCTTAACATAACGAAACAACTATTTTTTTCCATTCTCAATTCTACATCATCTTCAAAACCATGTCACTATGGTTCATTGCATTCTCCACTTTCATATTATGCATCTTAATATACCGTTTTCTGAAATTTGCAACAAAATCTTCTTCTTCTTCACTACCACTTCCACCTGGACCAAAACCATGGCCTATAATAGGTAACATTCCACACTTAGGCACTGCCCCACATCAATCTCTTGCAGCCTTGGCTAAAACCTATGGTCCTTTAATGTACCTTAAATTAGGTTCAGTGGATGCCGTCGTGGCGGCTTCGGCCGCCGTGGCCGAACAATTCTTAAAGGTTCATGATGCTAATTTTAGTAGCCGGCCACCTAATGCCGGAGCTAAATACATAGGTTATAATTATCAAGACCTTGTTTTCGGTCCTTATGGCCCGCGGTGGCGATTGCTTCGGAAAATTACCTCCGTTCATCTCTTCTGTAACAAATCTTTGGATGAATTCAAACACTTGCGTCAGGTAAGTTAACATCCTTTCATCTGTTTATTACTTTTTCTTTTGCACCAATGAAAAAATTGGGAATCTCCTTTTTCCTCTAGTGTTTTTAAAAAAAATCACCTAAGTATATTCCAAGCAATGTTTTGAAAATTAGAGATGGGGAAATAAATAAATCAAACAAATTTTTTAAATTTTTTAAATTTTAAAATTTATGTTAGACTTTTGAAAAATCATGTATAGAATCATTATTTTGAAAAAGAATGGTAATATTTTAAAATCTTGACACCCTTACGCTATTGAATTTATAAAAAATTATTAGTGTTAATTTTATATATAGTTTAAAATAATTACAAAAAAAAAATAGTCTACCGAATTTATCAAAAACTACTGCTCACCTTTACATCAAATATCATTTTTTTTAAATCAATGACAACATAAAATACATATTGAAATTATCAAAGAATCTGGTAATATTAACTTTATGTGTTTTTAAATAATTACTAAAAAATAATCTATCGGATTTTTCAAAAGAATCAGATACACACTTACATTTCATATCGATTCTATCATAATCCATTATAAAATAAAAGATTTTTCCAAAATTTTAACTTTATCTCGAATATTTGAAAAATATAGTATAAAATCATAGATTTACTCAAAAATTTATGGTTTTATATTGAATTTTTGAAATAATTGATAATACATAAATTTCAAAAATTATAAGATAAAAACTTTTAAAGGGCAAAATGGATATTTGGATAAAACATGGAATTCCTTGTGCAAATTGGGAGTATCAAATAAACTCTTTCTATTTCACCTTTAATTTTCTAGTCTAATTATATTGTAATTTATGCTCAATATATTGGCCTATAAAGATTTTAAGTGATTGTAATTTATGCTCAATATATTGGCCTATAAAGATTTTAAGTGAATTAATTGAGAGGCAACAATGGGAAATCTAGTTGGTCATTTTGTACAAATGATATTAATTATCTCAATCTTAATCAATTGCTATTTTAGGAAGAGGTAACAAGATTGATACAAAATTTGGCAAGTAATTCAGGATCAAAAGCTGTAAACTTGGGACAACTATTGAACGTATGTACAACCAATGCACTTGCTAAAGTTGTGTTGGGAAGGAGAGTGTTCAATGATGGCAATGGTGGTTTTGACCCTAAAGCTGATGAGTTTAAGGATATGGTTGATGAGTTGATGGTTTTAGGTGGAGTTTTTAACATTGGTGATTTTTTCCCTTCATTGGAATGGTTAGATCTTCAAGGAGTTCAAGCTAAAATGAAAAAGTTACACAAAAAGTTTGATGCATTTTTGACAAATATTATTAAGGAACATGAGACTTCTAATTACTCTAAGAGTGAGAAACATAAAGATTTATTGAGTACTTTGTTGTCACTTAAAGAGGAAATTGATGAGGACGGAAATAAACTCAATGATGTTGAGATGAAAGGACTACTTCTGGTATGTTATATTTCTCAAATTAATAATATCGGTTTTTGTCAAACCTAGTAATATCGACTTTTTTAAATAGTTAAGATTTAATTATATTTTGAGTTTGTTTGTCACATAAAAACGCTTAATATTATTTAATTAAAAAATTTTAGATGAGTGAATAACATAACCTTTGTTTTATTTTTCATCTAGAACATGTTTGTAGCTGGAACAGAGACAACATCAATCACCATAGAATGGGCCATAGCAGAACTCCTTCGAAATCCAAAAATCCTAACCAAAATTCAAGAAGAATTGGAAAAAGTTGTAGGTCGAGACACGAACGTGAAAGAAGAAGACATACCAAACCTACCTTACCTACAAGCTGTTATAAAAGAAACCTTTCGTTTACACCCACCGACGCCTCTTTCACTTCCGAGAATTGCTTCTAAAAGTTGTGAGATTTTTGGATACCACATTCCAAAGGATTCAACTCTTTTAGTTAACGTATGGGCCATAGCTCGTGACCCTAAAAAATGGGTTGATCCATTAGAGTTCAAGCCTGAAAGATTTTTATCGAATGGTGAGAACTACGATGTTGATGTTAAAGGAAATGATTTTGAAGTTATACCTTTTGGTGCTGGACGTAGAATATGTGCGGGGATGAATCTTGGAATTCGAATGGTTCAACTTCAAGTTGCTACTTTGGTTCATTCGTTTGATTGGGAGCTTGAAAATGGGGTTAGTGGAGAAAATATAAACATGGATGAAGCATTTGGGTTGGGTATTTTGAGAGCAGTGCCATTATTAGTGCATCCTAAATGTAGGCTCTCACCACATGTGTATTCATCTTCTTTATGATTCTGGAAGTTTGTATTTTGAATTTAATTCTCTTTCTTATGCTTTGTTATAATAATATAAATAAATGGGGATTGAAAGTATAATAGTGTGTGATGATCCTGAAAGGAAAAAGATGTAACTTTAGTTTATTTGAGTATGTGTTTATGTTTGAAACCATAATATGAATATATGTACTTTTATTTGTGGTGGAAATTCCAAACATAATTTGATTTCTCCTCTGAAATTTATGTTTTTAACAATTGTTGTATATTTTTCTTTTATCTTTAGAAAAAAATATGGATAGTCTTTTCTTTCTCATCTCGTTGTTGTTTCCTTGTATTATTTCTGTGAAATATTGGATCGAACTCTAGTATGGTCGAAGGGTAGCTTGTGGTTTGACAGGAACTAAGCATGAGGTCGAAGTATGTTCACATGCTGTTATCGGAGTAATCCGCGTTGTAGTCGGAGTTTGTTCTAACATGCATTAGTAAACATTGTTAGGGTTGTTAGTATGTTGAATTGGGTCTTGCTTGTAAGCCCTGAAGGTGAGAAAATACTTAGAAGGGGGGTTGAATAAGTATGAAGATAAAATCTTAGAAGTAAAAACTCAAGTATTTTTATCCTGGTTCGTTGAACTCAACTACTCCAGTCCACCCTTTCTAGAGTGATTTGCCTTTCTCAATCAAGGACTTAATCCACTATTTAATCAACTGATTACAATAGTAAGCACTAAGAACAACTGTTCAAAGTCTTCTCAAGAACTACTGATCCTAACTGGATCTTCTTAAGGTTTTCTTACAATCAAATGTAATAATAAATACAAGTGTTAAAATGCTTCTAACAAAGCTTTATCACAACTGTGATTTTTCACTTACGATTAAGAACAAAAAATTAATTCGAGCAAGAATATATGAGTTGTATGAGAGCTTTGATAATGAATTATTTTCAAGTGTTTCGTCAACTGAAGAAGATGACTGGAGACTTGCTTTTATAGGCACAGTGATCCAAGAGTATTTCACGTTGAGAAGTGTGTACCAAAAGGTCTGAGCCTTTTTGTCTTCACATCAAGTGACCTTTCCTAGAAGAAGAAAGCACAGAGAAATCCTTTTTGTTTGTGTTCTTGTGTCTAGCATAAATAAGGAAAGAGTCGTTTGGAAATTCCAACGGACATAATCTTTGAATTCTTCTTCAACAATTTTCAGCAAGAATCATCAGAGTCTAATTTGATCAGAGCCTTCTGATGTTCATCAGAGTTTTGCTGAATCAGAGTCTTTGCAGCAAGTGTGCTTTCAGCGTGTATAAGTTCAGAGCAGAATTTTGGGTCAGATCCTCAGTACTGGCAGCGTTAGTACTATCAGAGTCTTCTGAAGTAACTATGCTTGAAAACTCTTCATACAGAATTCTTCATTGGTTCAGATGCTTCTGACTTGCTTCAGATTCTTCTGGAGCTTCTGCTTCAGATCCTTCTGGAGGCAACGCTCAGGATCTTCCGATGGCAGTGTTCAAAATCTTCTAATGGATGCTTCTGATGCTTCAGAGCCTTGCATATTTCTTATGCTTAGATCTGATTTGCTTCTGGAGTGATATTTACTTTAATATCTGCAGCAAACATTCTTAAGCAAATTTTAGAGTACATAATTCTTAACTACAAAATTTCATAATAGTTATCATCAAAACATAGAGATATTATTAAGGACCAATCTGTGTTCTAACAATCTCCCCCTTTTTGATGATGACAAAAACATCAGAAATTTTGTTTAATTGAAAAGAGAATAATTAGAACTCCCCCTGAGATGATGAATCTCCCCCTGAATTAAATATTAATAAGGAATAGAAACTTCCCTTTTTGTCTTGAGTATTTTTCAGAGTTAGAGTTTGATTGTTCTAAACATTTGAGAGTCAGAGTTTCTTGCATATTTCAGAGTCAGAGTCTGATGAATTGAATATGATCTGGGAGTCTCAGAGTTTCTTTTACAGAGTATACTTATCAAATGTTTTGAAATACTCAAATATTATGTTAGATAAAATTGATATGTCTGAAGTTTCATTATGGTAAAGTTTAATTAAACAGTTCAGATCTATTTTCTCCCCTTTTTTGTCATAAGCAAAAAGTAAGAACTTTTAAAAGACAAATAAAAGGAAAAACAAACGAGAGAAATCATGTAGAGAAAACATTAAGACATTCATTTATTCAGAGCAGAAAGTACAAACATCAGAAAATATTCAAGTACATGTGCAAACATCAGATGCAAACATCAGGAAAAAAAATAAACTAAGATTGTTTTGACAAAATCATCTTCAACAGATCCGTGATCTCAGAAGAGGAATGTTCTTATTTTGACATCCACTTAGCCATGGTTTCATTCTTCTGATCTTGTTTGGACATCCACTGAGCCATGTCTTCAGACTTCTTATCTTGCATAGCCATCCATGAATTAATCTCTGATTGACCAGCTTCCAGAACTGCAATCTTATCTTCAAGATCTGGATACTCTTTCTTGATCTCAGATGAAGAAGGTGGGACATATTCTGAAGCATGAACAGAGTCAATTTCCATAGGGGCTTTGGAGTTAGGAGCAGCAGATCCAGAGGGATGTTCTACCAGAGTCATAGGCAGAGGGTTGTCTTCAAATGCAGATTCAGTATTCTCTTCTGATGATGAAGGAGCATCTTTAAGAAGCAATGGTGCAGATCTTTTAACAGTCCAGAACAAACTTCTAGCAGTTTCAGCAAATCTGAGCTTCGCATCATCAGAACATACGTTCTTCAGATTTGATGCTACAGTATTGAATCTGTTTATGAAGCCATTCCAAATGGCATCAGATTCATTTGCATCCATTGTTGATGAACACTTCCTCTGTACAGAGCCTAAATACATCTCTATTTCTTTCAAAAAACTTGTAAATAAATGATCAACATTCAGCCTAGGTTTTGGGTTTAGAAAAGATTCCAATGTGATTGGCTTGGGTTGGGGAGAGGGTGGAAAGATGGATTTTTGAATGGTGATCAGAGGACGAGGGTAGAATGGTATGAATGGAAGATCAGATGAATTGTCAGGTTTTGATCTAGTTAAAACATTCAGCAGATATGGTTTTGCATTTGATGCATAGGAAACAACATCAAATGGGGTATCAGAGTAAGGAGTGAATGCAGATTTATCAGATAAAATAGGTTCTGATGAAATTACTTCTGGCAGTTCTTTAATATACGGTTGAAGAACAGATGGTAGAATGATGGTAAGTTTGGGTTTAAGAGGAGTGATAGTGTCAGATGGTTCAATTCTGGTGTAGAAGTTTTTGAATTTGAAACCAGAGGGAAGTTTGTCATATGAAAACAGTTTACACGAAGCAGAGGGTACACACTCAGATGTCCTTGGCTTAGGTGTTGGGATAGGATTGGGAATGAGAGTTTCAGAAGAAACAGGTGGTTCTGGTTGGTTAACTTCAGAATTTCTGTGAGAGGGAGATATCAGAAAATCTGGGTGTATATCAGATTCTGATGAATTAGAGGATGTGGTTGGAGTGTAAGACGTGGAGGACACTTCAAAAACAGTTTTGAAAGGTGTAACGTTTAGAACCTCTGTCTCAGGGATATTGGTTTCAGATGGGTTGGTTGATTCTGATGGATTCTCAGAAAGTTTTGATGAAGGTGTAGATGTAGGTGGTTCTGATGTAGGTGGATCAGATGTAGGTGGATCAGATGTAGGTGGATCAGATGCCACTTGATTAGATTGTATAGGTTCAGAAAGAACTTGTACATATGCAATAGGTTCAGATCTGTTTGATTGAGGTTTTTTGGTTGTGATTGTCTTTCTGGTTGTTGTTGTTGTTCAGATTGTTTTTCTAGTTGTTGTTGTTGTTGTTCAGATTGTTTTTCTGGTTGTTGTTGTTGTTTTTCAGATTGTTCTGTTGGTTTTGTTATAGGTGGTGGAGTTTGATTTGCTGGTGTTGTTGTTGTTGGTGTTGGTGCAGATGATTGATTAGTAGAAGGTTTTACAGGAGTGGTGGAAACAGGATCAGATGATTTTTGTGGGGAAGGAACAAAGATATGAGATGGAGCAGGAACAGATTGTTTCAGAGCAGGAGGTGGTTTTGGAATAGACTTGAATGTTGAGTCATTTAAAACAATATTATTGAAAGAGGATACAGAAGATTTGGTACCTTTAATCTTGATACGCTTTGTGGAACAGAGGGAGCGTCTCCAGATGCTTTCCTCTTGATCAGCTTCTGAGGCTTGTTAGCAACTTTGGGCTTCTTTTGAAAAGCCACTTCTTCTGCTTCTGATTGGCCTCTTTTCCTTGTGTTCTCATTTCCTCCATCAGGCATTGGTTCCCTTGCTCTTTTCAGAATATCTGCAGGAACTGGGGTTCCATCTGCCTTGCAAGAATCAATATACCTTATAATTATTTCCCTTGGTTCTTCAGCACAGAACATTGGGTAGTTGTCAACTGGAATTCGCTTCTGACTAAGTTCAGAGATATTCAGCTTCTTGGGTGCTGATGTGAGTTCCTCTACAATTTTTAGTCTCTGAAGACTCTTGGCATTCAGAGGTTTCCCAACAATAGATTCAAGTTTCTCCTTGACTCCAGCAGCATACAGAGCAGTCACCAGTCCATTTTCTGTCAGAATATCTTAAATTAACCTTCCAAAGGGAATCCATGTTCTGATCTTCTGACCCTTATCTTTTACAGATTCTCTTGAAGCATTAATATGATTCCATAAGTGCATGAACAGAATGTAAGGAAGATCTATCTTGGTGCTCTGACTTAAACAGTACATGAAGTAGAGCTGTTCATTGTTCACACAATCTGGAGAATTTGTAGATTTTCTGTGATGAATGCATCCCATGAAAATCTTTACCCAGATTTTGTAGTCAGACTTCAGATCTTTAAACTTGTTAGAGGCCTATCCAGCAGTCATGACTTCCTCATAAACTTCTTCCATGTCTACACGCCCAGCTGGCAGATGAGACACTCCATCGGTTTCCTCATATACTATGAGTTTCCTGATTAGATCTTCTGT